TCCACTCTGTGCGTGTGCTGCCGGCTCTGCTCCCCCGGACAGCCCTGACTGACGCACACACAGCAAGCAGCACTGTTTCTCGGTCACACCGACTGGAGGTTAGTGCGGTCAGCTCTGCTTTAGCTGTTGACGGAGGTGTCTTGTCTCACTGGCTCATTCGTGGACCCAGCTGAGCGGCAGCAGCCACTCAGAGCGTGGTTTCCTTGGCGGTGGTGGAAATGCCCCTAACCACACGGGCTGGAAGCCCCAGTTTGCGTCTGGTCTGCTAGCATCCCGTTGCCCAAGCAAGTCACATAGCCAGGCCAAAATCAAGGGTCAGAGAAGTGTGCTCTGCCCACCGCGAGGCCACGGCGAGGGTGTGGGTGGATAATAGAGGCCGTAACTGCAGGGGAGCAGCTGTCACCACCAGCTCAGTCTGCCCCTGGCAGCCGTATAGAAGTAGGAGATACCGTATGACTTGGGTGCAGGAAGAGACTTCTTAACCAGGATGTAAAAGTTATAAATCCTGACATAAAGGTGTAGTAAAGTCAGTTACATTAACATATTTCTGATCATCAAAAGACACCACGATGAAAGTAACACATAAACCACCTGCTGGAGGAAGTTTTCTGTGCATGAAACTGATGAAAGATGTCTAGAATGTTTGTTCACTCGTGTGTTTGAGGCACCTCCGGACCAAGAAGGAGGAGGAGGACAAGCTGGGGGAGGCGGGCAGAGGTCTGACTGAGAGTTTCACGGGAGCAGCACCAATGCTGCATAAACAAATGGAATGTTTAACCTCGCCGATCGTTGTTGAAGTGACCAAAGAACCTGGTGAAACTGAGAAAGTAACCATGAGAAAGCCTGAACTGACTGATCGGCATTATCGCTAAAAGTGAGACAATCACCGTGTGTCTCTGTGTGATGTAGTGAGTGCACACCTTCCCTATGGAGCACTGCTGTCAGAAAGGCAGAACGATCCCAAACTACCTCGACGCACTTGTCAAAAACCAGCTGACCGTAAAAGTCAGGGTTCACCTCTGGATCTGAGTTCTTTCCCGCTGGTCTTCTGTCCATCCTGCCGCCAGTGCCGTCCCGAAACTCACAGTAAGTTTTGAAGTCAAGAAGTGTGAGTCCTCCAACTTGATTTTTCTTCTTTCCAATGGCTCTTCTTTTTTTGGCTCTCTTTCATTTCCATATGAGTTTCAGGATTAGCTTGTCAGTTTCTGCAAAAAAACAAAAACAAACAAACAAAAAAACCCACGGAGCTTTCATAGGGACTTGCCTGAACCTCTGGGTCAGTTTGGAGAGAAGGGCCATTGTAGCAGTGGTAAGTCTTTCGGTCCACGAGCATGTCTTCTTTGCATTTCTTTACATGTTCTTTACTTCCTTTCGGCAGCCTTCGTGACTCTCAGCGTGTCTCACCTTTCTTCTGTTAGACTTACGCCCGGGCATTTCCTTCTCGTTGATGCCGTGTCAATTGGGATGGTTTCCTCAGTTCCGTTTTCGGACTGCCCATGGCCTGTGTGGACGCACAGTTGATTTTTGTATATCGATCTTATATCCTGCAGCCTTTGTGGGCTTGTTAATTTTTTTAAGTGGATTCCTCAGGATTTTCCCCTGTGTAAGATCGTGTCATCTTCAACCCGAGAAAGTTGTATCTCTTCCTTTCCCACATGGATGCTTTAAATTTTTGTTGCCTGATTTTTACTGGCTATCATCTCTAGTTCAGTATTAAACAGAAGTTCTGATAACAGACATCTGGTCTGGTTCTTGTCCTGGCCTCAGAGGGGGAGCATTCAGTCTCTCTTCACAGAGGACCGTGCTGGCTGCGGGCTTGTCGCAGACGCCATGTGTTGAGTTGAGGAGGTCCCCCTCTATTGCTGGTCTGCTGCATTTTCATCATGGAAAGGTTCTGAAAGTTGTCAAATGCTTTTCTACATCTTTTGAAGTGATCATGCGGTTTTTGTCCTATATTTTAATATGATTTATTACATTTATTTTATGTGGTAAACCGACCTTGCATTCTTGGTATAAATCTCAATTTTTACATCTTGCTGGGTTTGGTACTTCTTGCATCTATGTTCATAAGGGTATTCCTCTATAGTTTTCTCCCTTTTTTTCCTTATGCTGCGTTTTTTATGGTTGTGTCAGGGTTTCTGTGTCATGATCCCTGTTTCTCTCACTTTTTGGCATAAGATGTGCAGAGTTCATCTTGGTGCATTTCTGCCCTCAGAGCACGGTTTCTCCAGGGAGGCCATTCAGCTCAGTGGGAAGCCGTGATCTTGGTGCCATGGTGTTCAGTGCTGTTGGTGGTTGTGGCCTCTAACTGTGGAGGGGGTAGTGTGTGGGTGTGGTTCGCTCTTGGTTCTGGGTTATACATACATGGTGGGCCCTCTTTTTGTATATGTGAGTAAACACAGTTTGGGATGAAATAAGAAAGTCGGTAGATTCCATTTGTACAATGTCCATAAACTGATAAAACTGAGTAATGATTTATGTTGGAACGTATGCATCAGAGGTATAAATAAAGAAGGCACGAAATAAGTACCCCAAGTTAAGAATAGTGACTTCCTATCCCAGGGGAGTCCGAGGGAACAGGTAGCAGCTGCCCTTGCAGAGCTCCTGGTGCTGAGTGTGTATAAATGTGTATTTTGCTCTTGGCTCTGGAATGTATACAAATACCTTACAAAAATGCATATGACATTTCACATTGCTCACTTATGAAATCTAGAGGTGGTGATGGGCAATATAAAGCATTGTTAAGTCAGTTTTCCCGTCAGTTATAAGTGGTCCTTAAGTAATTTCTGATCTTCTGCCAAGTGGGCCCGGAGTACCTTCCTGCCATGACTGTCCCGTCCTTCTGCTGTTGCAGTGCTGTTTGCTGGATGTCCATGTCGATAAGGGGGGATCTGACCATTAAACCATGTTAAGAAAAGTCAGTTGCATGTATGTTGTATACTTAAATGTGAACGTAGTCCAGCAGGATTTAGAAGACCATCGTGACCTTGAGATAGACAACACTGTCTTATTCATTATACAGAAAGCTCTGAACATGAACATGTATAAAGGAAAAAAAAACTTATTAAACTCCATTAAAACTTAACACTGTTTATCGGAAGTGCCTTCAGCGGATTTTGCTGTTTCCACACAGTGGACTACCGCACGATTAGGAGAAGTGCAGGACTGCGGCTCTGCCCAGCGGGGTGGGCAGATCTCACAGGCACAGCACCGGGTGAAGAAATCTGTGCTTAAAGTTACATACTATGTCATTCTGTTTGTATGAAGTTAGAACAATAGGTGCAACTCATCTAGAGTTTGAGAGAAGCGGTTACTCTTCATCTGGAAAGGGGTGTGAGGGGCTCGGGGTGCTGATGAGGTTCCATTGTTGGTCTGTGTGCTCTTTACGTGAGCGTGTTCACTTAGGATTCTTCAGGTTGTACATTTGTTATTTGTGTATTTTTCCATATTTATGTTGCATTTCAGTAAAATGTTCACCAAAAAATTTTAGATGCATGAGAGCGTGTGTAGAGGAGACCTCCTTTTGTCTAGAAGTAGGAGGACTAGTCTGCTTATGCCTGCTCGCTTTTGTGTGTATAAAATATCCTTTCAAGTTACGTAGGAGCCTGAAGGGACAGTGTGCCAGGAGCGGTGGAAGGCGGGATGGGAGGGAGATCTTGTGAGATGTGTTTAAGTTCGTAGAAGACGGACACATCGCACGCTCTGTTTATTAGCGCTGCTGTACGTGTGCCGTTGATGACTGACTTTGTGCTGAAAGAACATACCGTGGGGCACCGCTTCAATCTAGTTGTAGATGAGATTTTATATGAATTAAACTGATAATATGGCGTCATCCTCGCTGACAGTTTTCAAAGGGGCAGGCAGTGATCTGTGTCCGTGTAAAGCTTGCAGCTACGTGAACACACGTCCAGGGAGCTCTGCTCACTGTCTGAACTCTCCCAGCGACTGGGGCTGTCGGGTGCTGCTAGCTGCACGTTAGCTCGATCACTTCTGAGAAGATACGCAAAGTACAATAACTCAAGCACCGAAGAGCTGAATGTACGTGTTTACCCTCCGTGTTTAACGGCTGTTACCAGTCAGTCCGCTTGCGCCCTCCTCTACATCTGGAAAGGACTGTAACCAAGGTGACCTCTTGTCCAGCAGCGGCCTGACATCAGGGCTTCTGATGGGTGTGCTTGGCCGGCTGATTATCTGGTCGAGGTCGCTTTTAGGTAATAACAGATACTTTTGTCATGTATTTTTTGCTTCTGACTTAAGATGAGTGTGTTTGTGTAAATTCTGGTTTTGGAACCACCCAGAGCACAGGGAAACGGCCTGCCCTCTTAGTGTCTGGTGTTTTAGTGTCTGTCTCCTTTCTCTCTGCTGTGTTTGTGGGTGTTTTTAAAGCATCTTGTCTCGTCTCTATCTGCTCATGTATTTTTCTTTTTTTCTTCTTGCCTTCCTTGAAAAAGCCCTTCCTGCCTGGCTTTAGAGCAGGAAATTATCTGATTAATCCTAGCTCTTTCTTTAAAAAGGAATTCTTCGTCCTGGTGAGGCAGAAGAATCTTAGTTTGCGCAAATAAAAGTGACTCGTTTATGTTCACCCTGCATCTGTTATGAGTCAAGTTTATGGCTTTTATTTCCTAAAACCCTTCTAGAGGTATTTATTGTGATTTTGTACCTTATATTTTTATCTCCAGTATATTGTTATTTCCATGTAGGTTTCTAGACCATTTCCAAATAAATTCCTTAAAAGGGACTATGACAGAGTGTTACTTCTTAAACCTTGAGTTTATCAAAAAAAAAAAATGAGGTTCTTTCTGACCTGCACTGAGGAATTACAGTGAAGGGAAGATGAGAGCTGTGTTTCTTGACCTGCTCTGTCTGTCTGACCAGGGACAGTGCAGGATATTTGGGGGTGTGTCTTCAGTGTCGGGGACCCTGGTGCTGCCCGTTGCCCAGCCCCTCTGACCGTGCCCGGGCCGGATGTTCAGCTTTCCCCTTTCCCATGTCTGTCGCAGGTGGAGGAGTTACTGATGGCCATGGAGAAGGTGAAGCAGGAGCTGGAGTCCATGAAGGCGAAGCTGTCCTCGACTCAGCAGTCCCTGGCGGAGAAGGAAACTCATCTGACCAACCTCCGGGCCGAGAGGAGGAAGCACTTAGAGGAGGTCCTGGAGATGAAGTAAGTTTGGTGGCGCCGCCCTCAGGCCCGCGAGTCGGGGAGAGACGCGTCCTCGCTGCTCTCACCTTCCGGCCCCGTTCATTGCCCCTTAGCCTCGCTTTCATCCCACGTGTGTTTCTCACGCCTTAGAACGGGTCTGAGACAAACCCTGGTCCGGCAGAAGTGGTCTGCCTCCTCTTCACTGACTTTAGTGCATGTATCTGTGTCAGCTGGTGTCTCTGAAGTCCCCAGAGCCTTCTGGAAAGTCAGGCAAGTGTTTGCGCTCACTGAGGAAGGTGACTGTGGCTTCTGGGGTCACAGGGTGGCTAGGCAGGTTTTAAAACCCCTCTCTTACAATAAACATTTCCGGAGGTGCACAGACATCGAGAGCGCAGTGCCCATCTCCACATTCCACCACCAACACGCGCGCTCGCCAGGGGTCTTCACGCACTGCCACTTCCAGCAAAACCTCGCCTCCCCTCAGTTTCCTCCCGCCCCACATCCTGGGGCTCCCCTGAGGTGGTCTGTTGTGAGGCACGCGTGCACCCGCTGTGTGCCACGCGTCTGCTGCTGCTGCTTCTCTGCGGCTTTGAGAAGCTCTGGTGTCCTTCCCTTTAGAGGTGTCTCTTTTTTAGGTCCCATGGCGTGTTCTCCATTCCCCCCCCCACCCCTACCCCCAGGTAATCCTTACTCGGATTTTGCTGACACCAAGTCTGCCCTGGGCGCCCCCGGTTGCCTTGTCATCTCAGGGCAGCATGTGTTTTGTTGTCTTTTCTTCTGGCTCAAGGGGGCTCCTCCTCCCCCTCGTCAGGCCAGCTTCTTGCTTCTGTCTCGGGGCGAAGCCCTGGTCCCTCCTCTGCAGTCTTTCTCTGTTAGTTTTCTGCCGTGTGATCTTGCTGTCTGTCTGTCGGCTGTCCTTCCCTGGTAGATGCGCGGCCTCTGCCCTGGGCTAACAGGCCCGTCTGAGCCCGGCTAGCGCTCCCCGCTGGCAGCGCCTCTCCTCTGCCTGGAGCTTTTGGGGAGGGGCGACACCAGGTTACGCCGCAGCTGAGGCTCTTGCTCTGGTTCCTCGGCGTGCGTTCTCGTGAGGCCTGAGTATTGTGATGTCATGACAGTGGCCCTGGAGTTGAAGAGACAAGTGTTGGGGTGTCACCTGTGCTCACAGGTCGTCAGGCCGCAGTGCCAGGGTTAGGGACCCTTTAGAACAGCGTTGCAGGTGACGCGCTCTTGGAAGCGGTGAGTCCTGCAGCCAGAAACTGGTCGAGACGCTGGAGGAGGGGGAGAAGTCACGGTTCTGAGTAAGCAGCGTGACGAGAATGAGGCTTACAAGTCAGTTTGCTTCTTGGGAGCACGTTCGTGGAAGAGGTCCTGGGCCTGGTTTTGTCAGTGGCGGTAAGAGAACAGAAGAAGCGTGGGTGTGACGTGGGGGAGAACAGGCTGTCGGCTGTGATAACGCCTCAGCAGAAACCGGCCCTAAGCTTAGGTATGCACACACAGAACACCACGAGTAACACGGTGTGGGGTCGGATACAGTGCACTTTTGATTCCTTTCCACTGCACAGCTGACCAAGGGAATACACGTTTTTCTGCTGTATTCTGGACTCCTTTCCAAATGCTGAACAGTTTCTGCTAATCACCTGTCCTGGGTTGGGAGTGTCTGAGAGTCTGTAACTTTGATCAGAATTTACTTCATTCTGTTGCCAGTTGGTAAGGTGTTTACGCCCCCAAGGAGTCCCGCGTGCTGTGTGCGTGCGACTGTTCACGGCACGTGGACGGAGCGCGCCTCCCGGACGGAGCGAAGGGGCCTGAGTCTGCGTTCCGACTCTGCCGCTCACTAGCCCTGCGACTTCCGCAGGTTCCTGAGCGTCCCACGCCAAGTCTCCTCGCTTGTAAACTGGCAGGAATAGTTGCTCCTGCCTCTCTGCGTTTTCATGACAACAGGATGAGAAGTTACTAATACATGTAACTGAGAGCAGTGTGCAGCACCGGAAGCACTTAATGCTGGGTGTTATTAGCTTGCTGCGCGTATTTCCTGGTGATGATTTGCAGGAAAACAAAGTTATTTGAGCAAAATTTAAAAGAAGGAAGGCAGCGTCCTGCCTGTGGCTGTCGGCAGTGACGACGAGGTTCTCCCTTCTGTAATCATGGCGGGACCCACCGGTTTTTAAATGTGCACGTTGTTCAGTTGTTGGTAATTGAACAAGTGAGAGGGCTTGTTCGCTATGACCCGGGAACTTGAAATGTGGGCGAAGCGTGAAGGGAACGCAGCGTGCAGAAGGGCCTGAAGCAAGCCATGTGTGCCTGAATCTGGAGGAAGAGGAGTCTTCCCGAGGAAGAGGCGGCTGGCCCGTGTGTGGGACAGCTCTTCAGCAAAGCACCGAGTCGTCTGGTTTCCTGGACTAACCCTGACCTGGTCAAACCCAGAGGAATGTCCTGATGGTCCTTGTCTGTCCCTAGTGTTTATGATTGTAAATTCTGAGTGTCTGCTGCAGATGAATGGCGGCCGTGAGCTTTGGGAGATGTGGAACGGCTCAGCTGGTAGGCTGCCAGCGATTCAGCAGGCGCGCTGGCGGGCCAGCCCTGAGGAGAAGGAACATTTTTATTGGCAGATCCCACGTTGGCGCTGCTTCTCCTCATGCTGTGGTTTTGTTAGCTGTTACTTTTTATTCCACTTTTATGTTAGCCTCTTTGCCTAATAAAGGAAGGATGAATGGGGAAGGGGGAAAATAATAAAAATAACAGCCATAGGAAACGTGAAGTATCAGTTCAGGGTATGAGCTTTACTACCAAGATTTCCCGGTGAGCTAATTCATCCTCCACCGCCCTGCCTTCAGGGTCCTTCTGCAGGCTCACCCTGTGCTGGCGTCACGAAAAAAGCCCGCGAGACTCATTTTCCACTTTGAGTAAAATTGTTATCAGACTGTAGATGGACTACTCTGAGGACTGGTTTGTTTTGGGAGGTGGTGGCATAGCTCTTTTGTTTCTTTGAGAATCTGCAGCTGTTTGATGAGTAATAAATACTTTATCATCCATACTGTTAGTAACGTTGCTGGAGAAATCCAGGCCTCTGTGAGCTACGTTATACACTCATGAGATGCCTTTTGGCTCAAGAAAGCCCTAACTCCCCACAAACAGAAAATAAATTTTCATATGAGCCTATGAAGAGTCCAGTAGTATAATCTGAATTTTGGCATTTAAAAAACCTTTGCCTTTTAATTTCAGAGCGGAAAGTAGACTATGCTTAGAATTAAGAAAGCTGTAGAAAACGGTTCCTGGGGGAGGCCAGGCTACTTTGGGTTAGTGTAGTTTGGTGATCAATCGATTATACTTCGAATCATTAAAATGAGACTGTATTTTAAGTTATTTTATCCCCTGATATTCTGTAGGATTTCATTTTAAAATTTATTGCAGAGTTGCTGACATTTAAAAAAATCCCATTTGGGGGTTTCTGGCAGTCTTCCAGATTAACCACAAAGTTGATAACAGTTATGCACATCATATCCTGGCCACAAATTGAAATGTATTTTAAGTTACAAAAGAATTGGAACATGTATTCTCTTTGCAAAGTCACGCTTGTTTAAACTTCCACCAAATGCATTTATTTGAGTCATTGGACATATGATGAAGGGCTCCTCGTGGAACTGGAGGCATTTTTCACAGTGACCTAAAATGCCAAGGTTTACATTATTGTGTAGGAAATCAAATAAATTGTTATGGAAATTTCCTGCGCTTGAGTTGCAAAAGAAAACAAAGTATGCTGTACAGTGCGGCGATAAACAAGTAACACCGGTGGGACTGGTCCTAACTGAAGCACAGAGCGGAGTCTCTGCCCACAGTCAGCTGTCCCGTGCCTGGGGGCTTGCTCCCTCGGCGTGCTCAGCTCTTTAATTCTGCCCCCTCTGCTTCTACCCTGGCATCCAGCCCTCGTGCTGCCTACTTCACAGAACGTGTGATAGCAGCTCTTCCGACATCCTTCTTCACCAGAGCTGGGAGTGCAGCTGGGGCTCTGAGATGCTGTAGGTCAGGGGTGGAGGTGGGTTCGATACGTGTGGTGATTACTGGAGTGCCCTGCCTCTCCCTGTTCCTGCGCTTTTGACCGTGATGCTCAGCTTCTCACCAGATGATGCAGAAGTAGGACAAGCGGCTTTCTGAAATGGTTCTGTTTTCTTGTAACCTGAATTGAAATCTGTTATAAAAAACTCTAAACATCCCTTGCCTTTCTTCTCCCTTAAGCCTAAATCCATCCCACTTTTTAACCGTTTAGGGTCAGGTGTAACTTCCAAACAGAGGAAACCACATTCTTTAAAAACTCACGCTTCCTAATCATCTTTTCATATAAAAAGTCTTGAATGACTGGAGTAATCTCTAAGTACCAAGTCACGAACGGAGCTTTCCGGACAAAGGCCCCCCAGGCCCCTCTCTTCTCCAGCGTTTAGAAGTCTTTCTCTGCCCCGTCAGCGTACGGTCTGTGTGCAGGAATGTCCTCCCTCGTGCAGGGTGAAGGGAAGCAGATGGGTCCTCCTCTTTCTCCCAGAGGGTGAAGGAGGGGGATGGCTATCTCACTTCTTTCCTACCCTTTCACTGTTTCCTCTCCTGGAGGCCTGGGATCAACCCCAGTCCCTCTGTTTAATACAAATGAAACAGTTAAAGGGTTAACTGTTGCAGGTGGATAATCTACTGCCTTAACCTAAATTGCAGTGCTCATTTTAAGAATTTTTTTTTATGTAATATACCAGTATGAGGGGTTTGTTTGTTTGTTTTGCTTTGAGATTTCCTAAAAAATTTTTTCCTTTCAGGACCTTCCTTCTCAGTGTCCCTCAGAAAGTACCATACAAGGAATTTGCTCGTTCTGTAAATGGGTAAAGCTTCCTTCAAGCTCTGCATGTAGAAATAATAATTCATTTATTTAATCATAAGCCCTTCCTGCCTGAGGATTCTGAGTGAAAGAGTACTGTAAGGTGCTCTTTCTAGCAAAGACTGTGTTTACATTTTGAGCCAGTTTTCTTACCTGTAAACTGGGG